TTATAATTATTAATTATTATAATTCTTATTTTTTAAATATCAAATAAAATATTTTTATATATAATTTTTTATTTTTATAAAATATTTTTTCTCAAAATCGAGCTTGAGCCGAGCCGACCGAGCTCGAGCTTCGTACTATTCGGCTCGGTTCGGCTCGAATCCACCCCTATATTTTTCTATAACTAAAACCTCTAGAATCCTCAACATCCCCATCTACCCTTCCATTAATTCTATCTCTTGGATATGGGTTCATCATTGTTCTGGAAGGTATTCAGTTAAAGCCAACTATAAAAAAGAACTGCAAGCATCCTTGCCGAATGTCAATCCATATTTGAAATTTTGTCTTACAAATGCTTGGAAGTTATCTATGCCTCCTTGGTTTCAGATGTTTTTATGGCGCGTATTAAATAATTTTATCCCAGTAAAAGAACTGTTATGCCTTGAAGGTTCTCAGAAAACTAGTGCGCTTTGTAAAACCGAGGAGGAATCTCTATCTCACTTATTCACAAATCCTTGGAATCTCCATTTTCATAATATGCTCCAAAATTCTTGGTCATCGGGCATTAAAAGATAGCATAATTTAATCAACGACCATGTTCCTTTTTTTTAGCAAATTCTCGGTTGGCTTGCTATTGCTTGGTACTTTATTTGCAACTATTCCAAAATAATTTTATTCCTCCCTCCTCAATTGCCAAAACTGTGAATCAACTTTTTCATCTACCTATAAACCTTAATGATGATTCTTGACTTTCTTTAAATTCTCCTCTGAATAGTCATTTAACTCTCTTCTGTCTCAACAAACAGATTATCTTATATGTACAGATGCAGGGTTGAAGGCTGTATTTGCCTCTCTTTTTGCTGATATAACTTTTACTATTAAAAAAAAAAACCCTTATGCTACCAGAAGTATTGATCCAAGCTTAGGTCAGGCCTAAGTTTTTTTGCCTGGGCCGGATTGGGCCTATGTCGCAACCTTAGTTGATTGGATACACTATTTGGATGGGACAAATAGTTGAAATCTTGATACATTTGGATTGATATTAGGGTTCCATTTGGATTACCTTAAATTTAAGTGTTATTTGGGTGTATCTACACTAAGTATGCTTTTGGTTCTATTTATGTTTATTGAATAAATGTTTGTACTTTATTTGTTGGTAAAACCGAGAAATACAATAATTGCAACCATTTATGATAATTAGGTGCCACTTCAGCGTAATAGTGAATATGCCTGACCGTTTGTGAAAGCTTCAAAAAATAATTTATACAAACGGCTGACATGCACATAAACCAAAGTTCATTTTTTACATTTTCGATGTATGAAAAAAAGCAAGAGATAAAAAATGCTGAGATGACACCTATATGGCACCATCAATAAATATTTACTGAATAACCGTAAACGTAACCAAACGCCCTGTGAAACAGATTCAACTGATCGGAGCTTGGTCGGATCAGTTTGTAAAACATTATTATTTCCATGCTTCGAACCCGGTACCCGGATGATAAATAAAATAGGCAATTCATAATTCCTACAGGTATAATTTCGTCATATGGTGCTCAAATGTTGGCAGCCTCCGATGCCATCTGATCTGATCCAACATTCAGAAATTCTCAAAAAACTCAAGGAGGCGTGGCTTTCACATCCACCGTTAAAAATTTCAAGTGGGTCTGTCTGCATATTTCAAATTGCACGCTCAGCCCGCTCTCTTTTCAGAAGACAGTCAGAGAGAGAGAGAGGAAAACAAGGAAGAAAAGGAGACCGGGATCTAGTCTCTCAGTTAAGGTCTGTGCGGGTTATCTCGTTATCGCCTTCTTTTTCTCGTCAAGATGTCTGGTCGTCACGAGAAAGAGAAAGGTGTGAATGTTCAGGTCATCCTTCGTTGCAGGTAACGACTAATGAGATTTCACTCTCTAGAGCTAGGCTTGAATGCTCTCTATTTATTTATTACATTGTTTCTTTTTGGGAATGAATCATTCTAGTTGTTTTGATTTCAACTATGGATTTGCTACCTACTAGCGTTATTCCAGTATCTTTTGGTTGATTTCATCATTGCTTCCTACTTGCAATTAAATTTTCAGGCCGTTCAGCGATGAAGAGCTGCGGAACAATGCACCGCAAGTTGTGACCTGTAACGACTATCAGAGAGAAGTTGCTGTCTCTCAGAATATTGCTGGGAAGCAGATCGATAGGGTTTTTACTTTCGACAAGGTATTCCGATTTTCCATGTTTCTTCTCTGGATTTTGTTCTCTATGGATTATAGGTTCAGTTACTCTTGTACTTAAGTAACTTCATTTTTAACTTCTGCAATTCTGGAATTTAGATAGTTATCGGATATGTCTTGGAACGTCCTAGTTCAGAATGGTAGTTTTATGCATTTTATAACGACTCTGTAAGTTCTCAGGTCCTTTCCCTAGATGAAATGACCTTTTCTGTTAGTGTATGAGGGCTTGTTATATTTTGCTTCTAGTTGGGCAACTTTTGTTATTCTATTTTGTATTTGAAACCAAGGTAGAGTAAGTGGTACATAAAGAAGATGATTACATGTCAGTTGAGCCATTCAGTCTGTACCATTGAATTCATTCTTTAAAGATGATAGTTGCTTCTTTTCTAACAATCCACTGTCTGTCTCGTATCTTTTCTTCAATGACTTTCAAATAATTAACCTTTCTAACTATAGTTAAAAGACATTTCTTCAAGCAGTCAAAACCATGAGATAAATGTATTATACTTGAAAACCCATTAAACGAATTGAGATAATTTACAGTCTGGAAGTTAATAGTTAATTGCCTTCTTAAAAGTCTATTGATCTTATATGTACTTATTCTTCATGGCAAATATATTCTTTTGTTTACTTCCAGTATCATACATTAATTCATCCAGTCATCCACATGCTTCAACACCAAACTGAGCATCCTCACAATCTTTCATTATTGGTGGTTTCAGTTAGCTTCCCATCTCAATGCAACAGTTGCAACTTACATCAATTCAATGAAACCTTAGAAAGTTAGAATGCAAATTGCAGGTTCTTGTGAGAACGCTATCAACCATCATCTATTTCATTTTTATTTATTTATTTTTTGATGTTTTTTCCAACCAAACATATCTAAGACAATAAAATTTTAGTTGTATTTGTTTCTTGATTTAAACTTCACTTGCTTCTGTGTATTTTCTTAGCAACCAAATGGAGCCTTAATGGAAAATTCAATTTCCTCGCTGTCCATTATTTTTAATACAGTTCTGTTCATTTTCTTGATGATTCAAGAGCATTATTATCTTACTGCAGGTGGCTAGCAATCAAAATTGAAGTTCCCTTTAAATATGCATGGCAAACAACTAAGTTTTATTCTCTGTTATTAATGAAACATGTTACAATACATTTATAAGTCTTGAACTGAGAAAACTGCATTGAAGAGTAAAGGATGGCATAAATGGAATAGTGACTCACAAGAGTTGTTGATCAATATTGTTTTCTCAGTCTCACTTTGACATCTAATACTGTTTTTTTTTTTTTTTTTTCATCCATCTCTGAATTCCATTTGGAGGGATTTCTTTGATGACTGATGACTCTTATCCTTTACAATTTACCTTGGTCTTCTTGGATCTTGGTGAGACTGGCCAAGAGGAAAATTGCATTCACTGTATATATTATTTATTCATTTATTAAAAAGTAGCAAGTAGATAAAGGAAAGTGTTATGTTAAAGTGGCTGTAAAGAATCTCTGGAGTGTCAGAATCCAATGCTCATTAACATGGACACTTCATCCACTAAGGAAAGTCCACGCAACAGAGTCATCTAGAGCCAAGTCTCTCTTATACGTATGTTTTTATACATTTTTGATATCCATTTTTTTTTTAATTTTACACTTAGGTTGATTTGTTGGAAATAGTGTTTTCCTCAATAAACACTTAATCACTCAGCACACAATCAATTTTTTTTTTTCTATATTTAACCTGTTCAATTCTATTTAGTAGCTTAACTGGTTTGCTTTTGATACTATGTTCTCACAAGGAGATGAATTTCATCTTGGTAGTTGGTAATTTGTATTGAAGTATGTTTTAATTCTGAAATATGAAGTATGAGTCAATTGGGTAGCTATTTACGAATATTTCCTTGTTACAAACATTTATCTTGCTTTTAATCTTTTTGAACTTATTGTATTTGCAGGTTTTTGGCCCTTCTGCTCAACAAAAGAATTTGTATGAACAGGCTATTGTTCCCATAGTAAGTGAAGTTTTAGAAGGATTCAATTGCACCATTTTTGCTTATGGTCAAACCGGGACAGGGAAAACATATACAATGGAAGGTGAATGCAAAAGATCAAAGGTAGGTACTTACATAATTAGATACAATTTTGTCTATATGTTCATGTCAGAGAAAGTTTTCTACTTCTGTTGATATTTAATTAATCCTTTATTATTAGTATATTACTTCTGAGGTTAGTACGGGGCTTTAATGTTAAGCTAAAATGTAATTGCAGAATGGGCCAAGTGGACAATTGCCTCCGGGAGCAGGTGTCATTCCTAGAGCTGTTAAGCAAATATTTGATACATTGGAGAGTCAGAATGCAGAATACAGTGTTAAGGTCACCTTCTTGGAGTTGTATAATGAGGAAATTACTGATTTGCTTGCTCCGGAAGAAATATCAAAGGTTGCTCTGGAGGAAAGACAGAAGAAGCAACTACCTCTCATGGAGGATGGGAAAGGTGGGGTTCTTGTCCGAGGACTAGAGGAGGAAATAGTTACCAGTGCCAGTGAAATTTTTACTCTACTTGAGAGGGGATCTGCAAAACGGCGCACTGCAGAGACCCTATTGAACAAACAATCGAGGTCATACTTTATCTTTTTCTTCTCACCCTCTCTCTCATCGAGTCCAAATTCTGATTTTTTAACAATCTGTTCTTTATTTTAGCCGGTCACATTCTCTCTTTTCCATTACAATTCACATTAAGGAAGCAACCCCAGAAGGTGAGGAGCTTATTAAATGTGGGAAGCTGAATTTGGTTGATTTGGCTGGGTCAGAGAACATTTCTCGTTCTGGTGCTAGGGAGGTATGAAAGTTTTGATTTGTTATGCTATCTGAGTTATTTATATAGGCTGAGCATGTTTTTTTTGTGGTTGCTTCTTGAAGCTCTGGATCTACTTTAGAAAACACATAAACAAATTGCTAGTTCCTGGTTGTTCATCACTCTCTCGTTTTCTTTTTTCTAAACATTATATGCTGTTTCTTATTCTTTTTGCCTTGTTAATTGTTTTAGGGCCGAGCAAGAGAAGCTGGGGAAATCAACAAAAGCTTACTTACTTTAGGGCGTGTTATCAATGCTCTTGTGGAACATCTTGGGCATGTTCCTTACAGGTTTTAAGTTCAACCTCTTGCCTGAAATCCTTAGCACCTCAATATCTTATCTTTTTAATTCTTGCTAATAATCGTTATGTTGGTGGGTTGGCATTTAGGGATAGCAAGCTCACACGCTTATTGCGTGATTCTTTGGGTGGAAGAACCAAAACATGCATAATTGCCACTGTGTCACCGGCTGTTCATTGTCTTGAAGAGACCTTGAGCACATTGGACTATGCACATAGGGCAAAGCACATAAAAAATAAGCCTGAGGTTTGTATTTTCTAGCCTTTAGTGAATGAAGTAACTTATACATGATTCTTTTTTTATGAGTAAAATTTTTCCTTTTTGATTGGCTTGTATAAGGAAAGCTGTTTATAGCATTTTTTGGAACATTTGTGGCTTGCTTTCTTCATCATCAATTTATTCCTTGATGGGCTATACTCCTGCATTAATACCAAAACTTATCAAACAAGAAGATTAGATTAAACATGATTAAGTTTTGTATCGAGATTCATAATGCTTGATTTTGATATACATAGTTGTGTTTATGCAGTTGCTTTGTGTGCATCATATTTCACCTTATATGATTCAGATGATTAAAGTTTAGGAAATATTTTTTGTAGGATGCACAAAAAACTATGACCAGTTTAAGTAGTAAAAACTAACTAAAAATCTATGTTGTACCTTTGTACCTTTTTTTGGTTTGTAAGATATAGTTACAACAAGATGTGAATGTGAAGATTGAGTGAATACTCTTTTTTGGTTTGTTTTTGTTGCATACTTCACAATTTTTTATCCAATATTTTCCTTTTGTATGATTATTGACAATTTTTTGCATGTTTTTACAATTCTCTCTCTTCTCTCCCCCTTTCTCCTTCTACTTGATTTTTTCTCCATTGGCTGTGTGTTTGGTAGGTCAACCAAAAGATGATGAAGTCAACTCTTATTACGGATCTGTATGGAGAAATTGATCGCCTTAAAGTGGGTAGGTACTTTTTCTAATTTCATGATAAATACCTCTTGTAGTAACCATGTATGAGTTGTTTTTTCCCAAAAGGAAGGAAGAACCAATTTGTTTTATCGTGAGGTAGTTTCATGTTTGGGAGTTCCCTTACCATTTAAATTCTTCGCTAGAGATTTAATGTATCAAATACCCCAAATGTTACATAAGATCGACAAAAAATAAATAAAAGTAAATGACTCCCTCTTAATTAAAACCTATTGAATATTGGGATTTACAAAAAATATGTGCAAGGCAGAATGAATCTTGATGTTGGAAACACATGGATGATTTTGCAACTTGCATCACCAAGAATATTCATTAAAAACAAATCATGATTGAATAATCATTCACTTTTTTCATAACAATTGTTTTACAATTTCACTCGCTTTGCTCATTCACTGAAGCTTCTAGAACCCCTCTATTTGCTAATGTTGTTCCTTCATTCTTCCTAATAAAAGATATTTTCTACAAGATAATTAAAATTGTAAAACCATTTTTTTTTGTAGGGATTAAAAATTTAAGTCCTTAACATGGATTTGTTTGGGCTTGCCTCAAGGGGCTTGGTACAAAGGTGGCTTGTAGAATTAGGAATGAAATATGTTTAACATCACATTGTCTATTTGAAATTGTGCAATTAGGAAAGAAATAAAGAAATTGAATGTTTTATACTTTTTATATGCTATGCTTGATTTTATTGTTTGCATTTTCACTTTGGATATGCTTTGGTTATGTATTTTAGTTTGAGCTAATAAGATTTTTAAAAATATTTAGTTTAAAATTAAACTTTGCATTTCTAATTAATATTACTTTCATTATTTTCTTAAGTTATTTTGATTTTTTATATTTCTTTTTGCATTTTTTTTATTTTTTAAAATTATGCGCCTTGCTTGAAAAAGGCGTGCACCTCGCCTTGCGCCTTCCCCCTTGAGCACAAAATGTCCTTTGCGCTTTTTTTGCACCTTGCGCTTTTAAAGCATTGGTACTCTCTCATCCTTTTGCTCAAGTCCCTACGCTTGACTGGGGATCTGGATAGGAGGGGGCAGATACACTCCCATTCACGATTGATCCCTTTGGTTATGGCTGGGTGTACACTCCCTTATTCTCCACTGTAACTCCTCTAAGACTGTGTTTGTTTTCGGTGTAAACTCCATCGATGTAAAACTCAAACAATGGAGTTCAACGCTGATGGGTTTAAAATTTTAGTGGACTGTTGGAACTTTTTTTATGTGATAATTGATGTAAAAGTACATCGATAAAATTGATGTATTATTTACATTGACTATTGATGGAAAACTCAACCGATGTGGAGGCTTACATCACTGAAAACAATCATGTGAAAATACGGACTGGGAGTGGAGTTTTGCACTGGTCTGTATTTACACTGAAAACAAACGTGGGTAAATGCGATCTGGCGGTGGAGTTTTACGTTGATTCACATTTACACCGAAAACAAATGCAGCCTAAGTGTGTAAATTCAGGAAGGGAAGTTGATTCCCACACTGACAAGAGAGAGGGGTGCCTAACCCTTTCTCTTTCTCTCTCAACTTACCTAGATAGATTCTTCCTTGGCTGTGAATACACTAAATTTCAACATGGTTTTCGGTTCTGAATCCTGGAGGCCTGTCACTCCCTGTTTGCCAGTTTTGGTGGGTGGCAATTCCAAGTATTCCCAACCATGAGGTGAGCTTCAATTTCCGATGCTGGCACTTATTTATCATGAAAGTTGGCTTGGTTGTTGTGTTTTTACTGAAGGTTCATCAGTTCAGTTTTTCAAGCCTCATACAGGTTAGTTTTCAAGTCAATTTTTTGGTGAGATATGATACTGTTCATTTTTGAATAATATAACATTATTAGGGTCCATTGCTTGGAGTGATGTTAGAGCATCCACTTTGTGTAAAAAATGCTGGTAGCTGGTTCTGTAGTCTACCTTTCCCAAGGATTCTGGGTAGCCTTAACCAGCATTGAGTAGGCCTTTTTCTTTCTTTTAGTTTAATTTGTTTCTTGTTAGTGTATATATATATATATATATATATATATATATATAATCTGAACCTGATCTGAATAAATTCTGAATCTGATGGATAAAATTTGATTCAAATATAATATTAATGGAATGGATTTGGATGTAAATCTAGTCTATTTGAATCTGATATGTTTTCAACCTTAATGGTTAGCAATAATCTAACAGCCTATTGGCTAAACATCAACTGGATATATGGCTAACTTTCCTGAATGAGTTACTAAGTCTTAATCAAAGTGCAGGCTTGGTCAATTTATTATGGTGTTCCTCTTGGAATTGTTGTAATCAAAATATGCATTTTTTTGACATTGCATAGCCTTTTAGTTGTGTCAATTTTGGGACTGAAACATATTGACTCTGGTTCTTAATTGTATGCTTGCCTGTTTTGTTGTTTTCTGACTTTCAAACAACTCTGTATATTTCCTTCAGAGTTATATGCTGCACGTGAGAAAAATGGAGTTTATGTTCCTAAGGAGCGATACTTTCAGGAGGAGAGTGAAAGGAAGGTATTGTTTCTCTCCCTGGCAGTTTCATGCCATGCGAATGGAATATGTTCAGCTTATTGTGGTTAGTGATCCTTAATTATGGTTTTAACTTGACTTTGTGTTGGTGTGACCGTCATTGTTTTGTCCATTTTCTTAAATTGTGGCTAATGGTAAGATAAAGTCACCTCTATGTTGCTGTTATTTTATTCTCTAAATATGTGGTTGATCTTTTTGAAGAATTGGCTCTTAGGTTCATTTTTCTTATCTATAGCTGATTTTGTTCTGTTATGGCTTCCCTTATGTTCACATATTCAATTTCCCTCTGCTGATCCAATGAAAGAGAATCACTGTTTAACTCATGTATTTTATGTATTTGTGTGAAGGCAATGGCAGAGCAAATTGAACAGATGGGAGCTATTTTGGAGGCCAATCAGAAGGTCAGTTCAAGGTTTTGCTGCTTTTGTACATCGGGAATTGCTTATACACTGCTAGATCCATGGAAGTTTGGTCAAAATGAATGTGGGGCAATAAGGCCTCTTTATTGCTTTGTTCAAGTGGGATGGTCTATGCTTTCATTCACAGACAATATTACTTGACGAGGAAAGAAAAAAAGAATATTGAAAAGTACTAAAGATTGAAATGGTATACTTGCCCTATTAGTTAGTTGCATATTCTACAGAGCTGTTAATGGCTTGGATCTACACAACAGAACTGAACTGACTGAATCAATTATGTTGTTCTGGTTCTGTGGCTTTGTCCTGATTAATAATAGGGTCAGGACTGGTTCATGCTCTTCCAAACCGATTATATAGTTAACAATATATGAAGTCCTCCTGGTTTTCTTGTAATTTTTGTTATACATATTTATGTCTGAAAGGGTAAATTGTATAGATAGTGTATAAGATAATTTTAGTTAAATGGGTTCAACTATGATATCGAAAACACATGATATCCGAAAAATTTGTGACCAATCTACTGGTATCATAAATGTGTTAACAATCAGGTGGTATTTATCAAAATTCAGGGTAAGGTTTTGATTGGTCAAAGCTCTAGTGGCACCATGTCTTTCCGGTATCATAGATTTTCCCTAGTAAATTTACTTGTTTTCTCAACGTATAAACAGTTAGATATTTTACTGCCATTTTTAATAAAGTTATATTATCAAAAATACTTTTAAGTTGTTATTTATTGGTAGTTATAGATCTCAATTATAATCGGATCAGGCCTGATTAATACTTGCGACAGTTCTGGGTCTATTATATGGAACTGGTTGATAATTGGTCCAAGACTGGTACACCCTGTCATGAACCAGACTCAACCCATTGACAGCTCTAATATCCTAGTCCTGTGGCCACTTCCCTTAGTTGTTTGTTTCTGAAAATATATTATATGTAATCTTGAAAGATGATTATGTATTATCATTATATTATTCATCACAATATTCAATTTTTTTATTAGTGTCATTTGCCAACATATCAAACTTCAAGTATTCATGGCTTCAGAAACCCACTAAGTTAACCATGCAATAGAATCAGTTATGCTTATAGAAATGATTATTCAGTAACATATACAGAATATATTGAACGAATGGAAAAAAAAGAGCCTAACGAAATATGAAAATATAATTTTGGGTGAAGTGCCATTATTCTTGTTCCTTGCACTTTGAGCAAGATGTGCCTTGTCGTGTGACTTGTGTTCTTTGGTTGCTGATGTCACGCATGGAGATTCATGCAAAAACATGCTTCTGATTTTTTCTCCTTTACTGTTGTGCTCATTGTTCTTATTTTGCCAGCAAATCGAAGAACTGCAAGAGAAATATGATGCTGAAGTTCGTCATTCCTCTGATGTGAGCAGTAAACTTGATACAATGCAGGTAGTATAAGTAAATATATATGATACAATATGGTATTTTGCTTTCGGTGATCATATGTGGACTTGCACTTAATATTGGCCAATGATGTAGAAAAGCTTAGACCATAAAAAGAAGTTGCTGGCTATGGCTGAAGAAGAACTTAAGAAATCTCAGTATGCCTTGAAGGAGCGAAATTATGTTATATCTGAACAGAAAAAAGCAGGTCTTATTTTGTTACATCTGTATTTTTATCTATTTTCTCCCCTATTCACTTGGAGTTTGACGGGTATGCTTATCTTTCTGATCCTTCTGAATCTGTTAACCAGAAAATGCTCTGGCACATCAGGCATGCATTCTACGATCTGACTTGGAGAAGTCTCTTCAGGATAATGCTTTGCTATTTTCAAAAATAGGTACCTTAATATCTTCTATAACCTAGAGTTAGATGTTAATTCTTATGTTTTTGATGGCTAACTATAACTTTATTAAACGAATGATGATATTAAATATTATTTAGTTGTTTCATTTCTTTGATCTTTGTCCTTGATACACTGTAGCTAGGGAAGATAAAATGAATGCCAAAAATCGGTTGGTGGTGAACAACTTCCAGTCAGAACTTGCTGAACAAATTGGTGATCTATGTAACAAAGTTGCTACATCAATGTCTCGTCAACATGAGCACTTGCAGTGTATTGAGAAACTCTGCCATTCATTCCTTGATTTTCATGACAATGTATTTTATCTTTCTTGGATTTCATCCTTGCTGTGACATTGTTTTATTTCTCAATTTAACAATTTTGGTTTACTCATTTTCCTCCTTTGCTTTTTTATCTGTTTATTGCTACTTTCTTCTTCTAGTCGGTTTTGGATTTAAAGACGAAAGTAGCAGCTTGTAGGTCATTGTATATATCTCGCATGGAAGCTGTGCAAAATGTGGTGCACTTGCACAAGGCAAGCCTTAATTCTTGCCTGGAGGAGATTTCATCTTTGACTGCCACACATGCATCTTCAATTGAGAAAGTAATGATATTTATGAATTTGGGTTTGAAAACTTATTTTTTGTTTTTGAGCTCTATTTATGTTTTTTACTCTGTATTTGACATCCTGTTTTCTCTGCATAAGTTTCTAGATACAGAGGCTGGGGATGCCAATTCTATATTTGCTGATCTTCAAGGTACCTTATCAAGTCACCAAGGAGAGATGACTCTTTTTGCAAGGGAATTGCGTGAGGTTTGTTCCTAAACTTTGTTAATTTTTTGTCATTTAACCTTGATTAAAACATATGCTATGAAAAGTTTGACATGCAAGTATTTTCTTCTCATAAAGTCCTTGTGGAATCCTGACAAACTTGTTCTTTTTTATTCACCCGATAAACATAGATGACTGTGGACTACTCCATATTTGTAGAAACTTTTTAGTACTTATGATTTGCAGGTTTCTTTCTTTTCTTTTTCTCCTGATGTGGATCCTTTTCTAGTTGTGTGGAACTTTGACTTGTTAGTGCATGCTAGCTATCTATTATGGGATGTTCTGTATTGTCTATATATTTAGATTTGTAGTCAATATCTTAGTGCCTAGAACCAGTCTAGTGGAAGGCTAACCCTAGGCAAAAGTGTGGATCAGGCAGTTATGGAGTCAATTGCTGATAAAATGTGATTTGTGAAATATGTTTCAACTGGAGTTGTGGTCCTAATTAGCTTTAAATAGCACATATGGTGAAACATGGTTTATGCAGTCAGTATTTTGGTCATACATGATACACCTACTGAAATAGAATGAATTATTACAACTAAAAATTTTAAAGAAGTGATGATTTTTCTAGTAAATATTTGTGAACACAACTACCCAAACATTTGCTAGATTTGAATGGAAAAACAGAGAAAAATGGAAAACTAACTAAATGTAACTGGTTGGGAATCATGGAAATGAAGGAAAATAAACAATGTTAACAATTTAGAAATCATGAAATAGCAGATAAGCATTCTAGTGTCACTTTCTAAAACTTCTGGAGTTTTTCAACACTTCGGTTCTCTACCTTCCCTTATTCTGATCCAAGTTCTCATCCAACTTTTGGGTCCTTGCATTAAGGCATAGATGCACCCTTTACTTTTGTCCATGTCATGTAGATTAACAGTGGACCAAAACAAATACTTGTTGAAAATCAAGTAAAACTATGTCTCTTCTGGGACATTGGAGGTGTCTGTTGGATGTGGTAAACCCATTCCATTTGCAATATTTCCTTGGCTATTTATCAAAAAAAATTTCCTATAGGCTTTTCTTATCTTTTTGGTATTATGCCTGAATACAACCATAAGCAGTTCAAAACACTGCAAGGATTTCTCTTCTGTTTTGGCTATGCATTCCTGCTCACTTTAAGTGCATTTTTCTACTTTCTTCTCTTTTCCTTTTCATAACTTGATTTGTACAGAAATTCCAAGCCAGTATTCAACATTCCAGGGAGATATCCACCTTTACTCTTGGAGTTCTTGATGGGCTTGAGGAAGAGTCTCACAAACTTGAAAGCCATGCAAATCAAGCTCATGAGGTTCAGGCAAATAGTATTTCCGAGTTTCAGAAAGCTTATGAGGTATATTATGAAATCTAAGATGCATAAAATGTGTTAAATATATTAATTTATCTTTCTGATTTAGTTTGCACATAACATCGCAGGAGCAGTCGAAGTCTGAAGCAGATAAGCTTTTAGCAGATATGGCAACCTTGGTTTCTAATCACATACGTCGTCAAAAAGAGCTGGTCTGTTTTGGTGTCCTTTAGAGTCTCTTATAGTTTTATTCTTATTTGTTGTCTTTAGTTCTCTAAGTTGGCTTGACATCTGAGTGTGCAGGTGGATGCTAGGCTTATTGGTTTAAGAGACACTGCTGCTGGAAACAAGGCATTTTTGGAAGAGTGTGCTTCATCAATGGAGGGTATAACCACTAATGCCAAAAGGAAGTGGCAGTCCTTTTCGATGCAAGCAGAGAATGCTGCTAAAGATGGTGCTGATTTTTCTGCTGCCAAACATTGTCGCTTGGAGTCATTCCTACAGAAATGGTCAGTTTTCTCTGCTCAGATATTTTAATGAAAGGAGCCCTTAACTGTTTTTGGGAACTGACTTTTTCCTTTTTATATGATAGTTTTATCATATATTACATCTAATATTTACCTACTACTCTTAGATTTTATAGTATTCTTGTTATATGAAATTTTATATAACTATTTTTTTTTTTAATTTTCTCCAGTATAAGCACCACAGATAACGCTTATAAGCACTACAAGAGGATACATGAATCCGTGAATGAGATGAACAGTGGCCATGTTTCAGCTGTGGCATTGCTTGTTAGGTTAGTTATGAGTAGTTTTTCATTTATTTTTTTCCCTCTTGGCTCCATGGCAAACAATTTGGACACGAAGGGTAGTCCTGTTATTTGTGTGACCTGTTTGCATAAACTAAGGCAGCTTTGAAGAAAATGTTGATTTTATTTTGCTTTTCCGAGGAACAGCAAATACTTATTTCCTGCTTTCTGATTAAGGAAAAACTATAGTAACATATCCAAGGATCATTTTGAGTTGACACCTAATGTTAATTTTGATTCCATCTGTATTGTAAAGCCTTCTTAGCTTCCATCATTATTTCTGCCAACTCCTTTTGTTTTTTTTTTTTTTTGGATAGGAATGCCTCTGAAAGTAATGACCAACATGATGCTGAGATCTGTTCTGCGAGGGCTGCAGCAGAGCATGATGTGGTGAACTCTAGTGAAGATATTCTAAAGCAGTTTGAAAGTGAGTGTGCTCTTCTATCATTTCTTGGTTTAGAAAGACTTCTTGGTTTGTGTGTGTATGTGGAGGGTGGGGGAAGATTTCTGATTTTTAATCTTCATTACCTTTTCATTGGATCTCTGATTTTTAACCTTGGCACCTTATTAACTAAGCTCTCAGTTTCTTGATGGTGGTGTGAGAGAACTCCTATCAATGATAGAATCATGTATTGTTACCAGCAATATTATGTGTGATTTTTCTCCTTTTGAGATAGAACGCAATCAAGTACAAAATGGTTGAACTTTTCTATCATATATTAATGAAATTGGGGGGTGGGAGTTCTTCTAAATGCAGAGTTTATATGAGTTGTTTACTTGGTGCATGTGCTTTTTTTTGTTCTTTTAAACGTAAAGATGAAAAACTATATTGAAATGTCTGTAAATAAATGTGTCTTCACCTATTCATACTCTATACTGAGATTGTTTTGGATATGGATCCGGTGCTGGATACAAGCATAGGTGCATTTTATTGTATTATGTTTGGCTTTTGACTGAAAAATTGCTTCTATAGGTGTATCAGGCGAAGATCGGAGATCAATCTCTGGTATCATGGCTTCTGTTGACACTCATGCAGAAACCATGCAGAAGCTTCGGGAGGATCATTTGGGTCAGGCAGCAGAGATTAAACAGAGAGCACAAGACACTTTCCGGCAGAGATACATGGTAAACTGACTGGTCATCAAACTTTGAACATCATGATTTTATTGTAAATCTTGAAATACTAATCCCACTTTCCAAAAATCAAGGCTTGTTGGAATTTAGTTACAATATGGAGATGAGGGCATGCTATTCTGGCTTGTTCAGTTATTCCTGAAATCCTTTAAAAGGCAGTTACAAGAGTCAGGATTACTTACGTAGAATGATGGACAGGAATTTTAGATATGTATATAGCAGTATATTTAACATCATTGTTTTTATTTTATAAACATGTCATTATTGGTGCCTTTTATACTCTTAACATTTTCCTGTGATCTTTTCGTGGAACTGATTATACTTCATATAATAAACCAAGTTAGTATATGATGCATGGATATGTTGGTTTCGTTAACTAGTTTTTAAATAAATGTGCAGGACTATGAACCGACTGGTTCCACTCCAACAAGAACAGAGCCAGATGTCCCGAGCAAGGGGACGATTGAGTCTTTAAAGTGCATGCCCATGGAGGCCCTCCTCGAGGAGTTCCGAGAAAACAATCCATTCGAAGCATTGGTCTCAAAGGAGTCAATGCCTTCTCTGATACCGCGCTCACCTCTCATTCAACTGAATTGAAGCCGTCGTGATTTCTTCTCATCTACTCTGCAACTTGTAACTTTTTTTGTATGTTATTTTTGTAGCTGAAAGATAAGAAGACTGGGTAATGCCGTAATGGGGGTGACAATGTAGCTGTGTTGTGTTTTGGAGGGCTATTATTTGGGAGAGAATATTACAAATTATATCAATAAATGATAAATCTCAGCTCGGGGTTTACAAAAAATTTGGATGTATTGTAAATTGGGCAAAGCTTCACATGTTTGGGTTCAGAGAGGGTCTGTTTTATTGCCACATTCTCTGAGCGGTTTGCTCCATTTAAGAATGAACCTATTTATATCCTTTGTTGTTCAAATAATATGATTCTTTATTTAACCCTTTTATGCTAAAATGAAATATAGTAGCTGGGTAATGCTAAAATGTGGTGGCTAGTGTGCTTCATTGATTGATGATACCGTCAAAGTAGAATTAAGAAATGGGTTTGAAGTTTGAACAAGTTCTCCTGACCCTTCAAATTTTCTTCCTGTCAGTAATCTATATTCAAACTCAGAGCTAACTTGTTTGATAGAAATTCAGGTTGCTCACTGTATGGAAGTATGGATTTACATGATACATCAGTTTGAACTATCAAACAATGAAGAGTTCGAGGGCGGAGTTGTTTTCCTGGTCGATCACATCGAGGAAGACGGGATCAACGACGACATGGCTTTCCGCGTGGATATTGAATCTGTGGCTCCACCACAGCACTTTGGCTTCCCCGGCGAGGTCGACAGATGCATCCAGCACCATCTCCCGTCGGGCCACGTCGGCTAGGAAACTTGCCGCATGGTGGGCGAGCTCGAGACTGTCGAGGCGAGCCGGGAGGTGGAGTACCTGGCATGACTTGGCCGCCTGGGAGCCGGCCTCTATCTTGGCGGTGCCGAGGAGGGAGTCTTGGTAGAAGATGGACATAGTGGTGGCGGAGTAGTAGACGGGGACGATGTTGGGGTTGATGACGTGAACGTTGAGGGTGAGCTCGGCGTCGAGGAGGGGGAAATTGAGTTTGAAGGAGGTGAGGTTGACTGATATCAGGTGGAAGGTGGGGTCTCTGGGCTTGCAGATGATGATCGCCGCCGTTGCCGCCGCTGACATTGCACCGACTATTGCCGTCCTCCATCTCCTCACGTTCAGTTCCATCAAGGGCAAGGCATAGGCTTTAGTAACACAAACACAAATTGTGGTGCAGTTCAGATTCTGAGATTCAGAGGAGTGGGGGATGCAGCTCAGAAGGAAGAGAGCAGAGAGAAAGATGCTACTGGCTAGTGGCTACTACTGATCCGTTTGAAACTCTAGAATGGCTAGTAGCAAGTAGGCGGAAGGAATGGAGGATAATGGATTTGGGCTTACCGGCTTAGGGTGTGTAAAATGACCAAGGTGTCCCGCACACGACCATATATCATATATATAGGGGCTGAGTGTGATTTAGTAATTTCGTCTTTCATTGTCTCATCGTATATGTCTGCACTTTGCTGTTTCGTTCAAATCCATCTCCATTTGCAGATGGCCGGTGGGTTTGTCTGTTACTTAATAAGTCGTTCAGTTTAGTAGTCAGTTCAGCTACGTAACGAGATCAAATCTGTGCCGCACAGAGGACGCCCCACATGCACATCTCAGCGTGTATTAAGAACATCTTCCGAAATTGTGGAAGATTTTCCGAATATGGGATATGCTGTGGGATGTCTGTTGGGCGTGGTGGATGTAAATTCCCATTAAAAATGTTAAATGCGAACCGGTATTTTGGATGTAAACTTTTACATCGTTTTTATCGAAGTTACTTTTATACAGATTATTCATTCAAAACTGGACCAGCCTATAAAATAACATTGGTCCCTTATTTACATCAATCTCACACTTGACCCGTTGTAGCATTTGTTCAGTCCAGATCTCCTGCCATCATAATACTCCTAATACGTTCCAACACATGTAACATGTCCACACAATGTGTAGAATCCACTCATGCGATGTGTAACACAAATCATGTTGGGATGCGTTGGTTGGGGAATTTTCTTGGCAGGAGATCCCGAGCAAGTTAATTTCAAAAACACCCTAATTGTCAAATATTAGGGATGCAAACGGATTGAATCCGATCTAATCTGACACTGCTAAAAGATCTGATCTGATCTGAAGATTCGATCTGATTTTATAAATGTAGATTTGAATTCAAATCTGATGAGTCGGTTTGATCTTTGGATTGGATTTGATATGATTTTTTTAAAAAATATAAGTATCTTTTCAACTATTTTAATCATATATATATACATTATTTATAAATAAATAAATAAATAACATATATATATATGCTATATATATTTATATAAATAAATAAATAACATATATATTGGATTAAATGGGGGGAGATCCATATCTGATTCAAAGATCCAAACTAGGGAGATCCAAATTCAACAAAATAAGATCGGATTCGATCTACTACCAATCAGGAGTTCAGATTGAGCATCCCCACAACACATCTCAACTATATATTGGAAACATCTCCCAATGGCAAGTATAAAGATGTTACCAATGCACAGTAAGATGTGCATATGGGGCGTTGATGTGATCTCCCCAATCAGATGCTCCCAATATGTTCCAACTGATCACAGCATCTGCACATTGGGAACATCTACCAATGAATAACAGAAATGTTTCCAATGTAGGACAGCAATGGTTTGTTGGAACATTATTGGGAGCGTTTTATTGGTGGCAGATCCCTACCCCCCAAAAAAAAGGTTTCAAAGAGAAACAAAATACTAATACATGAACAAGCCCCGAAGTAGAAGTAGGATTAGGCGAAGAGTGTGAGTCTCATCCATCGCATGATTGAATTGCTTTATTTTATTTTATTTTTAATTTGAATTAACAAACATTTTCTCGCGAAGCCTGTAAAATAGAAGGCCTAATTGTGTAATTCAACTTCGGTGAGAGAAATTTTCTCATGGAGTAGAGTGAGAGGCTTTGGCTTCCAACACTGTGGATGCTGAGAAATGAGATGTGGACCTCCAACTACCCCTTAAATTTTACATCTTTTATTATTTATTGATAGTGCCAACCGCACCGGCTCAAGCGTCATACAATATACAAGCCCAGCGTTCTTGGTGCGGTTAGGAATCGAAAATTTATTTTGCCAGGTGGCAAAACTCGCCCGGTTTGGTTTTCGTCTCTCATAAGATTAAAATAGAAGAGACAACATGGACTCTTCTGAGTGGGCATCAATGCATTATGCCATTATCATCTCTAGCTCATCAGCAAGCAGCTACGCGTTTGTTCATTGCTGGTGTGTACGTCAAATTGTAAACCACACATACTAAATTCCAAGTTTCAGACAAGCATCTCCATTCTACAAGCATATCTATCCAGAAAAGGAAAGGGAGAGAGAGATAGAGAGAGATCTGAACTAAGCAGTAAACAGTTCTATCTCCGATCTATTTTCCTGGTCTACGACATCGAGAGAAACCGGATCAACAACAAGGTGACTCTCCACATGGAGCTTAAACCTGGTGCCCCACCACAGCAGATTCGCCGTACCTCCGACCTCCCCCGCCGCATCGAGCACCATTTCCCGTCGGGCCACATCGGCCAATAACTGAGGCGAGTGCTGGGCCAGCTCCAGACCGTGCAGTCGTGCCCGGAGCCTGAGCACCTGACATGACTTGGGGCGCTGGGTGCCCGCGTGTACTTGAGCGAAGCCCAGAATCGCGCCATGGTAGTAGATGGGAATGTTTGCAGAAGAGTAGTTGACGTGGGTGATGTTGGGGTTCTTGACGTGTACGGCAAGGTTGAGCTCGGCTTCGAGGTCAGGTGGGTTGAGCTTCAAGGACGAAAGCCTGAGTGATAGCAGATCGAAGGAGGGATCCCTGGGCCTTCCCAAGACAACCGCTGCAGTTGCCGTCGCCGCTGCCGCCCCGACGAGTGCCGATTTCCAGCTCCATTTTTGCTTCTTCCCCATTTTTCTGGTAGGAGGGGGAAAGGGGGCTTGGGGTTTACCTGTTTAAAGGAATGGGAAAGCTCCCGTAATTCCCACAGTTGAGTGTTGACTGAAAATTTTGAAATGACCGTCGCCAGTCCGTCGTTCTGCTAATCAATTGGGGGTAAGCCTGTAATTTGACAATTTCTTTGTCCCAATACAACTGGACACGTGGTGTTATGTGATGATGCCATAGAATCTGAATGACATCTGTCTGATACTATGGTTTCAGGTATTACCTGTGAGCTGTGACTATGCAACTCGACTCGGTGAGTTGGGTCGGGTTGTTAAGAGTCCGTTTGATTGACAGTTACACTGGGAATCAAAATCCTCCAAAACCAAAATTGGAATGCTTGACAGTTAAATTGGTTTAGAGAATATTGAAATGGGAATTGAAATAAGATTTCATTCTCAAGGGAGGGGCAACATACCATTCCACGAGGAATGGGAATATGATTTCGATTCCGCCCAATCAAACAGTTGGATCATTTCATTCCAATTTCAGACTCTTATTCCCACAAGCCAAACAGACCCTAAGTTTTGATCATTTCATTCCAATTTCAAAAGTCATTTCAATTCACAACTCATTCTTGAAATAATGATTCTAATTTGGAGCAGAACAGATGCTAACTAAACATGGCCAGAGTTTCCATGATTTTCTAAAATGATAATTTTAAGTAGTGCTACGCATTTGATCTGCTGGCAATAAAGCATGTGAAATTACAAATAATTTTCTTGGAAAAGAGGAAGCAAACGATCAGATTGAGATTCAAAACAGGCTATAAGCTTACAAAACACCTAATTCACAAGCCAGGAAAACGAATAAACAAATTACAAATTAAAMCAGCCACTCTGTACATAGTTAATTCATATACGAGTATCTTACGGCCGAAACCCTTGCAGATGCATAACAATGGAGGTGAAGAAGGCAGCGGCCAAAGTTGTAAGCCCAGAATAGCTTCTGTTGCTGGTAGCAGCATTAGAATGGCGGCCGCGGTTGTTTCCATTGTGGCGCTGACTGCTGGCCGCTGCAATACCTGCTGCAGCCCCAGCTGCTGCTATTAACGGAATTTTTGTTGCAGATGATCCGCCACCGTGGGCAGCGCCCCCTCCACCCCTCGCTGCTGCATGACCACCGCCGCCGCCATGGCCACCGCCACCACCGCCTCGCCTGCTCACTAACACAAAGGATGCATCTCCTTCCCTAGTTGACACTCTCTCATTTATCCCTTGTTCTCCTTCGACGTGATCCTGCACATACGCTACAAGAACAACATGCAGAGAGTGAATCAAGATGTCACCATTAACATCATCATGACCATGGTAAATTAATGTTGCACCAGAGGAAATGATCTAGCCAAATAATCAAGGTCCATCACTCAAGGCGTCCGGCTCCAGCCCCACACGTTAACGATAATGCCACCGTCCACAACCCCGCAAGCAAATGATTTGTAAAGCTAGTGGCTTTGAAAAAAGCTACACTCAAAAGGGCCATAATCCATCTGGTTGGTCGGTGGTTAAAGATAAAGCAAAAGCTAAAGTTAGTGACTGAGCCATCATCTGGGTCTTCATCTATCTCTTTCTCTCCCTCAGATGATAAACCAGGTAGCTTTTCTTTCGATCTGATTTCTTAATTTCTTGAAGCAAAAACTGATTTCATCTCTCAATTCTCACCCCAACTTTCTTTGTTGATTAATATATATTAAATAAAAATCGAGCTCAACACGGGAAACCAAATCAAGGTTGAAGGGACTTTTGAAACTAATTAAAGGGGAGAAAAGAAGGGGAAGGGGATGAATATATATACCTGAAACCAAGGTTTTGTCCAAAGGAGAAAGTGATGGCAGACAAAGAATTAGGTAGAAGAAGAGCATCGTCAGTAGCCATGGTTTTGGTTTCTTTCCCATTCCTCGATGCATCTAAACGTCTGTTTCTATGGAGTTGTTGTAGTTTGGCTTACATATACAAACCTCTCTCTCTCTCTCTCGTGTGTGTGTGTGTTGAGGGGTCTTGAATCTATTTCAACTGATGAAAGATATACTTTGCTTCGAAATGCTATGTTGGTCATCTTATTCGAAGTTTCCTCGTATATATATAAAGTGAATCCCAATTTTAATTGGGTCCCACTTTTCTTTCTGTGGAACGACCACAGATCATCTCCAGAGTCCAGACTCAGAACCCATACTAGAAGCACCTGTGGGTCTTCTCTGAACCGGGTTTTGGAAATTGGGTTGAAAGATCAAGACGGGCGGAGAGTCTGGCTGCCTGGGCCTGATAGTGGGACCCAACATGCAAATGGAGTGAACTATATGCTGAAAGCTGATACGTTAATTCGGTGAGGTTGTCAAATCAGTAAATCACAAATTTCTGGAAGCACGATGAACTCCAAGCAATCAGAGACAGAGAAGACTCCATTACAGACACAGTGAAATTGGAATAGTCCATCTTTTTCCTGTTGCTGATGATGCAGGATACAGCAGGAGGTTTTTATTTTTTACATCCTACCACCACCTTGTAAGTGTAAAAATTAAAATAGAGCGAGTGCAGCAGCTCCCAACGTTATGAGGCCTAAGTAGTTTCCCTTGCTTGTACCACCGTTTCGATTGTGACGGTCTTTGTTGTCGTTGCCGTGGCGATTGTTGGTTGCCGCCGCAGCACCGGCTGCCCCATATAATGGATTGACTCCCTGACCTCCATTTCCACCGGTGCCCGATGATGACTTTCCATCATCCCCACCGCCATTTACTAGTAAATAGCGTGCATTCCCTTCCCTAGTTGACATTTTCTCATTTACCCATTCCTGTCCAATAATGGTGTGTTCCTGCGTATGAGCTACAATAACAGCATGGAGTCATTTTTTTTATAGGTAAAAGCTTGTAGTTGAACACAACCCAATTAAGTTTGGTTTCAGTTTTAGAAACAGAAAATACTATTTTAAAAACTAATTTATTTTTCAAACCAGATGACCTTGATTTGTTTATTAAACTGACTATAAGAAAAACAACAATTCACATTAGACAACACTCTTTAATGTGATTTTGTGTTTTGGAACCAGAGGAAACATATGAAATGAACCATGACCAAATACACTCTAAATTGAAAAGGGAGTATGCATTATTACTCAGGGAGACACTAGAAAGCTTGTCTACCTTTGCCCTCAGATGGGAGAGGGTAGGGATAAGTTGGGTGATGGTAGGAAGGTGAATAATTATATTGTTCCTGGTTTTTCATTGTTCATGATAAACCAGAGACCAGGCATCCAAATTCTCACTGACCAGCAGGAATGAAAGACCAGGTACAACCTCATATACTCATATCAAGGTTTTAAGGGGAGTTGTAACTTGTAAGGATCTATGATCAAATTTAGATTAGGAATGAAGAAAGCATGTAGGATTAATACCTGGAACCATAGCTTTGTGAAAAGGAGAAGACGATGTGAGAAACAGAATGTAAACGAGGAGTAGCAGTAACAATCTCATCTCTTCCATTAACAACTTGATTAATTGTTGCAATTGTTGTTGTTGTAGCTGCTGTTTCTGTTGATGGCGGTTGCCTTTTAAATAGAATCTCTTATTTTGAATTGGCTTCCCTTGTATATATTGATTTACCAGCCAGGTCACCCATGTTCAGATTCTTATGTGGCTTCATTCTCCATGGTCGGAAAAAAACTTTTCTCAGCTCTTTTTCCGGGAAGGGAAAGTGCTCTTCACTTACTTTTCATTGATGCTATTTGCTCCATATGCATGCACGACAAGTGCAGATAGAGTTATATTCGGTTCCTTGAGACAATCTCTAGAAACCAACAGTGCTTAGTGGCAAAATAATCTAGATAGATAAGAAGGAATATCATCCCATTATTCATTTTAGATCTTGATACCACTTATTACATGCGTTGATCTTGACACATCAATGGTATGGTGGAGAACAAATTTCATATTGATCTTTGATGAGGGCAGATTTGGCCCTCCAGTGAAATTGTGACATGTGGCACCTCGTGACAATTAGGCGACACCCAGGCAACAACTTACCAAGTCGGTGTCCCACCGTGGCACCGACCTGGCCGACCTAGCCGGCCTGGCGCGGCCTGGCCAACCTGGATCAGCCCGGCACATGATCCAACCTGGCTGACCTGGCAACCCATAAGACGCCCACCGATGAACCATAACGGCATACCCCACGAGCTCGGTAGCTCACCAAGGAGATCGGTAGCTCACCAAAGAACTCGCCAAGGAGCTAGGCAGCTCTCCAATGAGCTCGCCACAAGCAGCTCGGCATAGCCCAAGGAGCTCGGCATAGCTCCCCCGGGCAGCTCGCCACTTGTAGGGTAGCTCGGTATAGAAGAGTAGTTTGGCGTATCGCAGGAAGATCTCCTGCCTGACAACCTGGCCCAGACACCGACCTGCCGACTGACACAGGCGCCGACCTGACAACCTGGCCCAGACACCGACCTGTCAACTGACACAGGCGCCGACCTGACAACCTAGCCCAGACACCGACCTGCCGACTGACACAGGTGCCGACCTGGCCGCTTGACACAAGCGCCGGCCTGACAACCTCGAGGAGTTCAYCACCGTACCCCGGTTCTGACGGGATATGACGAGTCTTACCGTTTGAAGGCTTTTCACCCACCTAACCCACGAGGACACCACTATATAAGGACTCCGACCCCCAAAGCCAAGGGGAGCGAAAAAAGGATGGTAACCCCTGCTCTCTAGCTCTCTCATTTCTTTCCAAGCTCTCTGTAATCAAAATGCTAACTTAGGCATCGAAGAGTCCACGCCGGGAAAATACCCCTGGGTCCTCTGATTCAGTTCTCGTAGGTCCCTCAGCTTCCGCCGCCTACAAAGGAGAGGAAATCACCTCATGCAGAGGGTAGTCGGGTTGCGCTGCACCAGTGAGCTCCACCATCCTCTGAGTTGCAGGCCGCCTAGGAGCAGGTCAAATGACGAGTCCACCAGGCAGTTCGCCACCAGGGAGCTCACCACCAAGCATTTCGCCACCAGGGAGCTCGCCACCGGGCAGTTCTCCACCAGGGAATTTGCCACCAAGCAGTTCGTCACCAAGTAGCTCTCCACCAGGGAGCTCGCCACCAGGCAGTTCTCCACCAAGGAGTTCGCCACCAAGTAGCTCATCACCAAGGCACATCACCACCGGATCAAATAACGAGGTACTTAGCCAAAAAAATTTATACATCACAAAAAATGGCACGTGACCAGAAACGGTTACATCAATCTTGTTACATGTTCCATTATTTGCTTCTAGTTTGTTCTTGTCATAGTAACCCATATCAATGGTTGGATCCTGGTAGCACAGATGGGGTGACCCTTTGGTTCTCTCTGATAATGTGATAGGATCATAGTTGATGGTGTTTTTTAGCTCATGATCCGGTGGTGTTTTTGCCCATGAGCCAGTAGTTGAGATGGTCACTTGGGCATTCCTCCAAATATGCAGGCATGGGATCAAACGTGCATAAATGCAGGTTCTCCATTTTACACTGCATCAAGCCTGGATTTTGGGCTGGGCCCATTCAAAATTTGACAATGTCCCAACCTGAGCCCATCCAAGTTGTATTGTACCCTTATTCATCGTGGTAAGGTCAGTGGACCTCACGTTCTCCTTACTCTGTCCCCACCCCATAATGTCCCTGTATTCCTTCCCACTCAAATGATAGTTACCTCCAGTTAGTAGTAATTACCTTCACCAAAAAGAAAAAATAAAAAACGAAAACAAAACTCATTTCGAATGATGTAGGATCTATATAGTGGGGTATTATTTAGTAATAACACTTGATTTAATCTCTTAAATTAAATAATAAATCAAATAAAATAATAACCTAAATTTAAAACATGAAAAATGGATGTCAAACAAAATTTATTAGAATACATAAATAAAAAAATATCATACCATTGACCCTGTATTTAGTAGGGGGTGGGGGTATTCTCTAGTGTAATATTGAGAGAGAGAGAGAGAGCATGGGGTCATGATTTATTAGGCATGTTTAAAAAATTCTGGCAAGTCTGAGTTCAGATCTGCGCCGCATGAGGGGTGCCCCACAACATCCTACAGCGCATCTCTGCCTTGTATTGAGAACATCTTCCGATAATAATATCATTGGGTCTAGTACTATCATTGAGAGATATTCCCAATACACGGCAGGGATGCTCTGTGGGACATTGTGGGGTGCCCCCTTGTGGGGTGCAGATATGAGCTCAGCAAATCTAGAGAAACTGGTTGCACTGCTGTGTGTAAATGGCTATATAACCAATCACAAGTGAACACAAGTGTTTCATACACATGCATGCGTGTGGGCCCCATACATACAGAACATTTGTGATTGGTTACATAGCCAGGTAGACACAAAGGTGTGAATAGCAGGTCCCGAGTGGCCTAGTTAGAGGGTTTTATCGTTTTAGGGTGTTTTCCATTGCTTAGAAAACTCTATTAATGTAAAAGCACCCCATGAATTGTGATGAACACCACCTGATTGATAACCTCTTTTTTAATACCGGTTGATTGGATGTAAATTTTTCCGATATCATAGTTGAACCCTTTCAAATAAGTTTTCAACATGACCAAGTAGTTGAGATGGTTAGGAGGCGTGGGATCAAATTTGTGGACATGCCCATTCTCCGTAGTATGGTCAGTGGGCTTCATATGCATCTTTCTCTCTCTATATATATGTATTTTCTCTATATATATATGTATGTATTCATATTATTATGAAGAGATGTTTAAATAACTGTAACCAAACCAACATTGATAACAATCAAGAAATATTCAAAAAGGGTAAATTACAGATTGCAACCCTATATTATGGGATAGTGATACTTGCCCCGACAAAGCCCCACTCTTAACTTTCAAATTCCAGAACTTTGCCCCTCGGTTAACAAGCTTGATGGTAAAGGTAAAATTACTAAAATGCTCATTTGAAGTTTGATGGGTTGAGAAAATAAAATGCATATAATCTTAGCATTTTTTTGATAAATAATTCTAGTATTGTTTGTATTTTTCTGTATTTCTTTTTCTTTGTGCAGTTTTCTGTATTTTTGTTATGTCTTTCTCAAGTTTCTTTGTATCTTTATTTTTTTTATTTCTTCTTTTTGCAAAATTCAGTGCTTTTTGTATTTTCCTGTTTTTCTATATTTTCCTAGGGGGGCTAAGTCTCATTAACCCCCAAGTATTGGATAGCAGTCTGTATTGACAATTTCAGATTATACCATTCAAACCAATGTTTTCAACCCGCTGTTGATTCGGTTCAAACTGTCACCGGCTCCGATTCTAGGTTTAATTTTCTCAAAACTCAGGATTTAACAAAAAACTATTGTTTCGGTTAAAATCCATTGGACCTGGGTGGTTGAACTGTTGATGCATTTAACCTAATCATCGGATCATGGGTTGTACACTAAATGTATATACAAATTTTTGAAATTCATAATTTTGCATTTGGTTATTTGATTGGGATGGTCTTTATATCTTTTTAGGGTAACCTCAAACCCCAATTTTTCATATATATTATGTATAGGATATAATTATACATTATATTGATTCAAATGGGCCTTTTTTGATAAGTGATTCAAACTGGCTAGAGTCCGGTTTAAAATGATACTTGATTAGAAATTGTCACTTGGGAATAGAGTTGAAATTTTGTTGCATATATTGGCACTATCATAATCCACTTTGGCTACTAACTAGGTTTTGCTTGATTTGGCAAAAGGCAGTGAAGGTTTTGATATCTAGAGAGAGGTCGAGTTGGTGAAAAAGAGAAATTATACCGACCAAAGTCCGGACGGAGTTCAGGTGCAATTGGCTAAGGGTAATATTGTAAAAATTCAAGGCCTCGGGGATAAAAGGGTGAACTGGGAATCGGAGACCGGATTTTAGGACCTCTTCGAAGACAACGACCTCATTTTCCTCGTTTTCCCAAGGAAATCCCCCAACCGGAAGAGAATAGTCAAAGGGGTCAGGAATCCTGTATCGGGCTACCAGGCCGCGGGTGGAATCGATAGATAGCTGGGAAGGACCGAAGTGGTCCGATTCTCTAGGCCTAGCTAGCCGACGGGAAGACGAGACCCTTTTTTGGGAACCTTGACGGTCTTGAACTGAGGTGCCCTCCTCGGCTTGACCTAACCCAACCCTCTCCTCACTAGACTCGCTACCCAACATACTAGAAATCAAGGAGAAAAGCGAAATGAAATAGAACAAGGGAAATGGCATACCTAGAGGAAAGAAAGACCGACTTGAAGACACCACCGATGACAGCATGCTCTGTGACCTCCAAATGTGCAAGAGCTCAAAACAGGATGAAGGAAATGGGTCCCCAAGGGTCTTATTTATAGTTGGCATAACCTACCATGGACGATCCAGATCAATCAAATCCAATGGCTCCTAGAAGTGCGTCTATTTGCATTTCGAGGTCGAATTTGGTTGAGTGTGTTTTTGACGTCCATGAAATTTATAGTTTGCGTGACGTCTGTGCGTACCTGAGATGCAACCTCGCCCTTAAGGTTAAGCCAGTTGGGTCGTTCGGGTTTGAGCCATAGGTTGGACCTCGTCCAAGCCAGAGACAGGGCCAAATCCACTTAAACTCGTCGTGAACTCCCGCCCCGAGTTGACTACCTCAGGCTCGGGAGTGGGGGGCAATTGATGAGGGGTAGTTTGGCCCAACCCGTTAATATGCTGACACGTGGAGCGGCCTATCGACTAGGCAACACTCAGCATTTTCAGACACCTCAGTAGGCTAGGCCACATCAGTCACCTTGGTCCTTCAACCAAGACTTAGGTCCAAATAGCTCTCCATACCCTCGATCTGTAGAGGTGCCATGTATCATCCTTCTAGAAGGGAGCCAACTACCTCTCATATCCTCGGGGTCACGCCACACGTTATCAAACCTTATATATCCTCATCCCGCCTGGAGGGACCCGAATAAGGCTTATCTAGTTGACACAGAGTCCATCTTTGGGTGTGGAACGAACTCCGGGTTACGCGGGCCGGTGATCTCGGACACGTTTCGTAAGGCTTACGAAAGCTCACCTATATCAAAGTACCATCATCACCCTCAAAAGGTATGTACGATTTAGCTCTCTTACTTGCATTCAAGGCAACCAAATTCTCTACACAAATTCTTTGCTAAATTAAGCATCTGAATACACACACCAGATAAAATACCCCGGGACCTCTAATACCACTTGCTTGTAGTTTGACCTCTAATACCCTTATCCGAACTACCTTACACGGAGCCACCAGATCGCGCATAATCAAATGGGATTCTTCCCACCTTAGGGGAGGTGTTTGGCCTGCCCGTCAATTCACACTTACTACCAAGACTAGACTGAAATGAATTACGTTACGTAATTAAAACTAGAAAAGAGGTGAATTACGTTACGTGGGGTTTAAAAGAGCCAACTTTGGGTTGAAGCTTGTCTCTGGTCTGGTCTCTCATCAACTCACTTACCCTTTCGCCACTTTTTTGTACGGTCAATATTCTCTTCTCTGCGTGCATGCATCCTATAATCTTCTCTCTTAATATTTACGAAAAGGTAAAGCCAAATTCTTTGTGGCTGGAATTGATTTAAAAGTGAAAACATTCTTCAGCTCCTTCGTGGTATTTTCGATAAAAGGTTGATCAATGTCGACAACAAATAGAAAGAGGAATTGTTAACTTGTTGTGGTGTTGTGATTTGGCTGACGATCGCTATAGCAAAGAGGACCTTCACATGATGCGGAACTTCTTTTCATTTTTCAAGATTGGGATATGATCTGATGTGCGGAAAAGAAAAAGAAAAAGATGGGATCTAATGTGATAACATCATTTTAGATTCTTTGCTGTTTAATGTAAGATTCCTCTTTTTAGTTGGTAGTATGTATATTTGTTCTTATTAAATATTAACATTAATAAGTGTGTATGAGTTTTACATGTGATTATTTTTTATGACAATGATAATTCATTTTTTTTTATATTTTTATATCTATAAAAGTTATTCTTATTTGTTATATTTTTTGTTTAATATGATGAAATATACAATACTAGAGATGTGTTCAAATGTTTTTTTTATAAATCTTTTTTGTACTTTTTATATTTAATTATTATTATTATTATTATTACTATTATTATTATTTAATTATGACATCTAGGGCTAACACACTTGACCCAAAAGGCTGAATTATTGACTGAAGACCAAATAGTAAAACAATTCCGTTTTTGGATTGATTTTAAATTTGTATTTTATTTCTATCATTAATAAAAACAATTATTATTTATCACACTTACTTTTATTTAATATTGTTAATAAATATAGGATTCAATGAAATAATGTGAGTTAATACTCTAAGACTTGATGAAAGGGAATTGAATGAGGAAAAATGTTGTAGTTTAAATTACATTTTGTGATAGGGCAAAATTCAAAAATAGGGGTGTTTAGTGAAGAATAGGATTAACTGAATGTTAATAGAAATTAATACCTTAAGTATAAGACTCAATGAGAAGAATTTAAATTAGGAGATATGTGGTTATTCAAATTACATTTTTATCATTGCAATTCGAGAGGGGCCAAATTTAGAAATTGGGACATTTTAATTAACAAAAGTTCCACACTATCATTCACACTTTTAATAATAGTATATAATACATATTTCCTAAAAAAGAAACAAAGAAAAACAAAATGAGATCCTCCTTCCTCTCCTCTAAAGTACATTTATGGTTCTTACATTTTGAACTATGCCTTATGTATTTATGCAGTGAAATAGCAAAATAAAAGTGACCTTAATTACTTCACATTTGGAACAAGAATCAATTAAACAAATACTGATTGAATTCACCATAAATCAGCTTCCCCAAAGCTCTTTTTAGTGACTTCTCCAAAGTAATTTAATCAAAGCTTGAGCCCTTCAAAACGGACTGTTAGTCCGTTAGGCTTTATGGTTTAAAAGTGGTTTGGCTTTAGATTGTTATATTTTTTAAAGTAATTCTTACCACTTACAAAATGCTCAAAACACTTTTTGAGTCTTTTTTATTTCCTACGGCCCATGCTGAAAAGCAGAAGTTTATCCAAACAGAGTTTTTGATTGGGCTGTCCACTTAGCCTTTGTGCCAGATGCTTGATTCAATATGCTCAGTCCCCTTAGAACTATCTCGAATCAACATATCCCCACACTCATCACAATTAAAAAAGTTATTCTTAGTTTTTATTGAGAACAAGAACCAATTAATCAGACCCTAATTCAACTCGCTATTAATCAGTCACAAACATTTTTACAACCAAGTAGCTGCATTCCAACGACTCATACATCAATCACTAGCAACAAGAAGCAACAACTCTGTACATACTCTATAAGCATGGGAATCCAGCTGTTGATTGGGAACATCTCCCTATGAATTTAATACAGGGATCTGCTACCAACGAAACACTACCAACATTGTGCCAATTAGTCACTGAAGCCACACATTGAGAACATTGGGGAAATGTTTTCAATGTACAACTGTAATGGCTTGTTGGGATAATGTTGGGAGCAGATCTGAGCTAGATAATACCAATGTGCTGCTAGCTAGATGCTATGTGTGCATGGAGTTTTGCTTGCAGGAGATCCAGGTCCCAATCACTACAACACACACATATTACATCACACGAAGCATCCATTTTTATATCTGATTCTTGGACTATTAATTTACATCCTCCTACTGTGTAAATGTAGAATAAGTAAGGCCAAGATGACTGCAACCATTACTGTAAGTCCAGGGTAGTTTCCCTTGCTAGTACTGGCATTGTGATGCTTGCCATTGCGATGGCTGGATGCTGCTGTATATATTGGAATGATAGCAGCGGTGGATCCTGGTCTTGAGTTGCTATCCCCATTTCCACCGGTAGCAGCGGCTGCTCCACCGCCATCACCACCACCACGACCACCACCACCAGCGAGCTTATTGACTAATAAAAAGTGCGCTTCTTGTTTCCTAGTTTCCATTACTTCATTTACCTTTTCATCCCCTACAAGAGTTATGAAGATAATAATAATAAGGTATCAGTAATTCAAGGGTGGTGCTATTGATATATATCTTCATTATTCTTAGTAGTTGAGTTGATATGAGGCAAATTATAAAGTATCTTTCCTTTATTTTGCTAATCTAACAAGGAATAATTAATATAAATGATGAATGCTGATTTCTTTTTTAGAACATCATAAATCATGAATATTGATTCAATATTAATAAATGATGAATGATGAGGGTGGGGCATGGTGCAATGGCTGGGTTGCTCCATTGTGACCTGGGTTATTAGGGTGTAAATCTTGGAAAAAGTCTCTCTATATGTACAGGGGTAAGTTTGTATATATCTCTTTCCTCAGACTCTGTATTGACGGAACCCTCATGTACTAGTTGAAAGTAGGGGTGCAACTTGGGTGAGCCAACATCACTGGCCTGTTCATGACACATCGAGTTGGGATTAATCTAAAGCCCTTAGGTTTAATGTGTAGTTTAGTTAGGGATGCAATCTAATTGAGCTTTAACCATATAATTGGGGCTCAAGTTCTATTAGGTCTGATTCAGGTTTGAATCTTAAGCTCAATTTGGAAAGAGTATAAATACAAATATTTAGAGTGTAAAATCTTATATTTTGTATGTATTTATCTGTATATATTTGTGTTTATACTCCTTTCAATTAAATTGAGCCTTAGGGTAAATTTGACTAGTTATTTTGAATTCAATAAGTTCGGCTAAAAAAAAAATGTTGGACTTGAAAGCTTGCGAGTTTTATTAACTCCAATCTGTTTTTCTTTGTCATCAATGCCAAGCTTATCAAGCAACACCCTCTGACATAGAAACGATGTATTAGAGAATGAAAATGATTTTAAAAGAATACTCTGATTTTGGAAATTGGATTGAACCCGGTTTTGGTCCCCCATTATATATAAATGGTCCTTTTTCGTTTAAGTAGTGTTTGGTGTGATGGAAAATTAGAGAGAAAACAAAAAGCTGGGAGAAAATTCATAAGGAATTTGTAAAAGTTCCTTCCCTCAACTTTCTTTCTCTCTTATTTTCTATCAAACCAAACATAGCCTTGGCATCTGATTAAAGACTTAACTGATTGAATCCTTTCCCCTTATGATATGATCATATGATATGACAATATTAAGAAAATAAGCCTTGATATTAACCTGTTGGTGCATGCATGAGTGGAAAAACTAAAAATATGATAGAAACAGAGATGAAGTCATTAAGAATATATCTAACAGGTGATAAAATGGGAAAAAGTGGATTAAGTTTCTTCCTCCACATAGCAGACCACCCATAAGAAGTGATCAATTATAAGTTGAAGGGGCAGAAAGGGCTAGGGCCAAAAACTGTCCCAACATGATATGTGTTCTTACATCTCATGTATAGTCATAGTGGGTCCCAGCCTTATGAGATTTCTCAGTCTTATGGTGAGATATGCAGACACAGAGACAACTTTTGTTGGCAAGAGATCCTGATTCTTTTAATTAGATATCTCTAAATCAAAATTCCGGAAGAAACACAAAGTCATTATGAATCATGACTAGTCTGTGGGATGATGATAGTTATTATCTAATCCTCCCCTTCTTAAAATCAAGGAACTATTGCTTTCTTATTATGAAGAAAACTTTTTCAGAAAACAGGAACTCCATGATCTAGAATCTGCGAAATAAAAATCACTGATAATTCCATAGATGACTGAAGGGCACATGTACGCTCTTCCTATACCCAGTCTCTCTCATCCTCTGCTTTTGCTTTACAGACTTCACGTGCCCTTAGGTAAGAGATGAGAGTTGTTATATATATTTAATGAAAAGAGAGAATTAACTTGCTCAGTAAAAAAAAAAAAAAAACAGAAACGAAAGTTGCACTTCTGGGTGTCGGCAGGAACAGTTTTAAACAACAAAGGGTAAAGCAATTGATGCTTCAGTATCTTTCTCTGTGTCTAGTGATAAACCCTAGAACCATCCTAATTAATGAAACTGATCTCTTAGACTGCAATTGCAACTTCAGTCAGTTTTGAGCAAATTAAGAGACTAGTACATCATCAAGCCGATCGAAGAATTGTATAGAGTCGGTAATGAATAGGGATCCAAGGCGGAAATTAATTAATGTGGACTTCGAAGAACTAGAAATTAAGAAAAAAAGACAAGAGATCGAATACCTGAAACCAAGGTCTCTTCTGTTGGCAGACAAAGCAGGTAGGAAAAGAAGAGCATCAGCAATAACCCCATTATTCCTTGGTGCTGTTGTTGTTGTTATTGTTGCAGCAGCTTTATCTAATCCTCGAGAATACAATCCTGAAACCTCATTCTCAGTGGAGCAACAACAGAAACAGAAAGAGGTTTCCTTGCAACTATCCAGCTAAGTAAGGTCGTTTATATAATAGAGTAAAAGACTTGGAATCTCCCACTACTTTTATTCTAAATACTAACACCTTCCTTTCCCTTCTCTTTTGTTTTCAAAATGGACTAAATAATGCATCCCCTATAAGACTTTTTAGCCATTATGTCTAGCATTATAGTTCATTCTTTTCACACTTAAATATTCTATGAAATTAAGGATTTGTGAATATGTCTATGAAAGATCCATAAACTATTGAAATAATCCACATTTTTGGAATTATAAAATTACGTAAACTAAAACAATTAATTCAAAGAAATAATTAGATAACATTAATTTATATTGCATATAAAAAAGGATTGGGCCCATATTAACAATTCAATCATCTTGGCCATGGTGCATCAACAGTCCAATCGTTTGGACCTATGGCATCATAAATCATATAATAACAATAATATAAAAATATATAAACATGCAAAAATACAAAAAAAAAACTTACATGTAAACTAGCCATGTTTTTAGGGCTATAATCAAGGTTCAAAAAATCGATACGCCCGATACGCCGGTAGGGGCGTATCAGGCGTTTCGATACTTGTTTTCTTTACTTTATTTTTTTTCAAAACTGGTTCAGGGGAGCTGGTCTAGGACCCCTCCATCCCCTGAACCGGTCAGACCTCCGATACACCCACTGTAGGGGCGTATCGGAAGGGTCCCGAAATGATATGTATCGGCCGATACGTAACGATACTTTGAACCTTGTCTATAATTGGGTCATAGTTGGTTTACATCCAGCCATATATGAATCCAATTCAAAATTCACTATATCAGATTTGGATTTAGGGATGGCAATTTTGTGGAAATTTTTGGACACCCAACTTGTCCCGACCTCAATAGGACCCATTTTTAAAAACCTATATAAGGTATAGGTTTGGGATTTTAGGTTAAAACCCTATAAGTTTTGGGATTTTAGGTTAAAACCCTATAAGGTTTGGGTTATGTCCTTAGGGTACCTAATACCCAAACCCAATACTCAGGTACTCACTCTCATTACCTGATTGTAAACCCATCTATATATTATTAAGCGTGAGAAAATATATGATGCCGGGAAGACATGATATTGGAAGAGTTTTGACCAATCAAAATCCCTTGTGAATTTTAATAAGAAAACATCTGATTCGTTATTGGTTATAAGTTCTTTTGGTATCATAGTCAAACCCTAATAAATATATCTTATATGTTTTATAAGAAATAATTAATATATCTATATCTATACTACTTTAAAAAGCACAGGCAGTATCAAGAATAATTCTGGAATTTTCTAAGGGCAAAATTTATCCCTCTATATTTAAATTTATTGATTAAAAAATGATGTCAAATAGGGTAACTTGTTATTGGTATTAAAGGAGTTGAAAAGAAGTAACTTTAAGATATTCAATTCACTCTCATTAAATCCAACATTTAAGGTATTAACTTGCATTCACTTTCATTGAATCAAATACTTAAGGCATTTTTTGTATCTTTTCATCATTAAATTCTATTAATTAATCCATATATAATAAATTAATAATTATAATAACATAAAAAATTATACTTTTAAAATCTACATGGAAAAAATAGTATTCTCAACTATGTAGTGGTAAGAAATTAAACCATTTTGGGTCAAATGGGCCAATCCATGTTACCACAATTAAATAGTAAAATTAAAAATAGATAAAATGCAGAAAATATAAAAATTAAAAAAAAGTTGGAAACATTTTTAACATCATACATTTTGCATATTGAACTATAATAAGTGTGATAAATAATAAATATTTTTACTAATGATGGAAATGGAATGTAAAATTTAAAACCAATTGGAAACAAGACTATTTTCCTATTATCTCTCATTAAATCTCATATCTAAGGTATATTCTCTCATTAAACCCTATATTTAAGATATATTTTTCTCATCATTAAATTCTATTAATTAAATCTACAATATTAATTTTAATAGTATAGAAATACATATTTTAAAAAATAACTTGAAAACAAAACCATTTTCTTCCCTCCCGATGGTGGATAAGCAATAAGAAATTCAACCATTTGGGGTCAAATGGGTTAATAAATAATGCCATAATTAAATAATAAAATAAATAAACTATACAATACAAAAAAAATAATTAGGCATATCTCTAATATTGTATATTCATTATATTAAACAAAAATAAGCATGAAATGTAAGAAATATTTTTATTAATGATGAAAGTAGAATGCCAAATTTAAAATAAACCTAGAAATGAAATGATACCATAATCAAATAATAAAAATTTTAAAAATAGAAAATACAAAGAATCACTAAAGAGAAAATTTTGGGCACAAAGTTTAATGTCAAACTAGTAATCAAACTATTTTTCTTTTGGGTGGCGGGTTAGTGGTTTGGGTCACATGGATTAATCAATGATATGATAGTTAAATAATCATTTTTTTTAAATAAAAAGTACAAGTAGTCAAAAAAATATATAAAAACTTGTATATTAATTATGTCAAACAAAAATTAAGTGCGATAAGCAATTCTTTATATAATGTAAATGACATATATAATTTAAATCTGATAAAAAAGCAAAGCTATTTTATTATCTAGATGGTGGATTAATGATCCAACTTTTCAAGAAAAGATGTCATAATTTAATAATAAATATTTAAAGAAAAAAGTAAAACACAAAAAATAAAAAAAAGTACAGAATTTTGTTGAAAACATTTGGAATATTTCTAACGTTGTATATTTGACATATTAAATAAAAAATAATTGTTAAAATAAAATTATTTTTATTTATGGCAAAAACAAAATACAAAATTTAATAATAATTTTGTATTATCATCAGTTAAATATTTAACTGATGATAAGCCACCGACATACATTTCATATTAATGCACAATGCACTGGGAAAGAGAAAAAGACTTCATTTTCTCAATCCACTATTTTTGAGCTGCTTCAAATCAGAACAGATTTATCTTGATCAAATCATAACTGTACCAGAATAGATTTATCTTGCAGCTACATCCTTAGAGCTGCTTCAAATCATAACTAACTGTTTGATGAATTTTGACAAAGAGTTTATGGAAAAACCTCTATTATGAGCCTTAGAGACATGGAGAGATGTCTCTGTTAAATTTATGAAAAACAGTAAAGTGCTTCCATGGATGAATGCTGAATAAAACTTAGCATATGTTTTGAATATTTTGAGAATTTATATTTTTAGAAATATAATGCAAGATACTGCAAGTGTGGAAAAAAATGCATAATTCGCGTGTCAGATACACCTGCTAATCCTCAAAGATTGTTTTACACTTGCCCTAACAAATTGGTAAGTAGTATTTTAGTTTCATTGTATTTGTGATGCGGGGTCTAGTTATATTAGATGTATTGACTTGTGTCTAAATGTATGTAGGTAAATGATACCGATGAGGAGACTCGAGACTCCAATTTACTTTAGATGAAGCCAATGCAGTGCGTCTGGAAAGCCATATTAAAAAGCTAGAGAAGTTAGTTGTCGAAGGATTGAATGCTCTGAAGGCTTCTAGCAGTTATTTACCGAAGGATTAAAGGCTATGCAGATTTTGACAATAAGTTTTGTAGTTGTATTTATATTTGTCTTGTATATGTACAAGAACTAGTATTTAGGTACAGGTTCTTGTAATATTTTGAACTATATGTAATATTTCAATAGTAAGAAGTGGCCCAGAACAGACCCAATTATTAATTCTGGATTGTTTTTTGTGCAACTCTTTGAAGGGTTGGATGCCATTTTCAGTTAAAGCCTTTGTCTTGTTGTTCTTTTTCTTTTCCTTTGCAATTATTAATTCTTGATGTTCTTTGAAGGGGTTGGATGCCAATTATTAATTCTTTATTTTATCCAAAGTTTTAAGTTTCTTGTTTGTATTTTTTTGGCCTAATAATCAAGATTCTGATTTGTGTGTTCTTTCCTAAAATCACCAATGTGGGATATTTCCAAGCTTGCTGTTTATCCATCGAAGAAGCTTCCTGTTTTTCTTGTACCTGGCAGTTCAGTTTCAGAATTTTTATTTACTTATCTCTCTGATCTGCCATCATCAGGTTACTAGATTTCTTGGTGGTGTGAATTGGGCTCTCTTAGTTGCTCGTGTATGCCAGCTTTACCCTAATGCAATTCCCAGTATGTTGGTTTCCCTTTTTTTCCAGGGTTTATACCCAGTGGCGTTGGCCAAATCCTGTGATGCTGAGTCCAATAGAGGAGGATGAACTTGGTTTCCCTGTGTGGGATCTGATGGTGCACAATCCGGCCGGTCTTAGCTATCAACGACCTTACCTCTGAACTGAGCAGCAGGGAACCTGAAACGGAGAGGATGAGGAAGCTTCGGGAGGAACCCGGTGTAAAGGCTCCGAAGCTCAAGTTAGAATCCTTCAAAGGCGAGATAAAACCAGATAGCGCAAAGTTTGCATACCTCTTCTTTG